TAATTATTTAGCTTTCATTTTTAAAAAAAGAGGCATTAAATTTAGATATTCAGATATGTTTCAATATTTATTTTCAACACTTATTCAATGTTGAATGTAATTTGTTTTAGTGGTTGTTGTTGTTGTTTGAATTTTCTCATTTGATTGTTAAGAGACTGTATTTGATCAGTCTCATTTAGCATCCTGTGCATCTTGTATTCGATTGTCAGTAGGATACAAGTATAATCGAAGCAGAGATTAGATAATGGTTCGCAGTGGAATCTATAGGATGTAAGTTTCTTGCTATTTAGGACTGGTCAGTTGGATGTATTTGAATCTCACAGAGTTGATATTCACTTCAACACACGAACCCACTATATATCTTTACTTAGTATGTTTGTAACCTAATGGCTACATCGAGGCATTACGGGGTTGTTAAGATTGTTAAGTTACACATTTGAAATCATGAATCGATCAATGTTAGACCACCATTAGAAACCTCGAAGCTCTGGACGGCCGTTTCATCCTAGCATGGGACTCATCGGCAGTGCACATCCACTACTCCTGCACCTCACAGGATTCAAACCCAGGACCTTCGATCTAGTACAAGAACGCCTAATCTCCGAACCACTGAACCGGTATCCAATGGTGTTAATGTCTAACTTCGATCAGTCCAAGGCCTTGCGCAACCGTCCAGTGCTTCCAGGTTTCGAATGGTGATCTAACATTGATCGATTCATGATTTCAAATGTGTAACATATGTATAAATGGTTTATCGATTACTACTCTAGCTAGTTCAGTCATAGAGAATAATTAATGGCGTAGATATCTAAGGCAGTTCTAAAAATTTCTTTCTGATTACAAAAATTTGGCAGATTGTGTCATAATTTTCCTATTGATACCTCTACACCACTAGTCTTCATTTCTTTTACAAAAATGTTTACATTGGAATAAATTATCATAAACATGAATCGAATTAAAAATTCCAACAGTAATTATTAGAATATCCTTAAACAAAACTTAAAATTCAATATTCAATGATGACTAAGCACAAATTGAACATTTTTCAAAGTTCAATTGAACAGTTGTAATTTTTTCTTCAGCGATGAAAATAAGGTCATGTAAAATCATTGCCAACATTATCAGCAGTCCATTGACGTTGGAATCATTCAAAAAAAACCCAACTTGTTGTCTAGACATCACCATCTTTAGTTTAAATCAAATATTTCTAAAAATAAACATGTGGGATCCTTTAAATGTTTCTAGTTAATCAGAGTCTGTGATTAGAACTTTTCTGCACTTAATGTAATAGAATTATAAATTTTAAGAAAAGTATTACATCCATTGTTGGGATATTCGCCCAATATCCTAAGATAATTATTCGTAAGTCTAATTCTATTGGTCAATTCCTATTGGTTGTCCTAACTATCGATGTCACATTCTTTATATGTTGTTTCCTATTCGACCTAACTGTATAAATACGCATTATCTGTAACGTTTTATGATCCGGATCCGGATCCTTAGTCCGGGATCCTCATCCTCTTCTAGATGGTTGTAGAACACATGTTCTACTCTATATCAAGTCTTCTTCTTCTACTCAATGGGGGTTGATAAACTCGGATTAGAGTAGTCTGTCGTGTCGCCGGATCCTCGATTCTCGGTCTTGTTTTCCGACTAAGCTAAACTCGTAATAATAATTCAAGCGTATCAAATTGACATGTTGACGTGCATGCGTAACAATCCATATTGACTGACCATTGTTGTTGTATTTTCATGCTGTCTACTGAACAAATAATCTGTATTAGTATCCCAATCCTACGAAAGGTTAATTCTAGACTGGACTAATTCAGTGAAACCGAACGATCCAGGTTCAACCTTACACAGAAACAGTACTAATTCCTTTACGATTGTACGTACGTACAGCTTGCTGATTCGCGTTAACTAGTATGGAGCCTATCATTTTGAATTTATTTTCAACTAGTTCCAATTATCCAATTATCATCATGGACTTATTTATACACTTGACAAGAAAACAAAAAACAACCGAGCAGAAACTTACTTTCAATCCCATTTCTAATGCTTTCAAACGTAGATTATGCTCCAAATCATTAGCATTTAAACCTTGTAAAACAATTGGTGACATACCAATTGGACGATTCAATGGGAATTGTGCTAATGTAAGAAAACCATCCAAATGTGTTGAATGATGTTGGACTAATTCAACTGGACCAATAAATTTATGACCTATAGGAGAGAGAGAGAATATTAGATTA